GGGGGGATGGGGGGAATTTCCACCCCTTCCCAAGCACAGTTAACGCCTTCCCAGGGCTCTGGTTTATCCCGGCTGCCTCCCCAGCGTGGGGGCTCCTGGGGACGTGGTGGGATTTGGGGGAGAAGAGTGCTCTTTCCCAGCCACAGGGTCACTGTGCATCCATAGGGATTCCGATCCTCTGGGATCAGCGCAGGGAGCAGGGTAGGGCAGATCCCATCCCCTGTCCATCCCCAGGTTTTCCACTGTGTTGGCAGTGATGTCCACGCTTAACCCTCTCTGCCTCATTGACCCCAGCATTTCCCAGGACCTTCCTCATTCCTGCTGTTCCCAGCTCTCCTCCCCAGCCAGGCAGCCGGCTCCCCTTCTCCTGCCCATGTATCCTTGCTCTCTCCTGGCCCCTCACTCTTGCTAACCTCTCCATGGCTGATAGCACAGTGGTCTTTTACCCAAAAAGCACAGCTGGGTGGCAGGTGGTGCGTGCGGGTGGGAAACCTCAGAGCCATGCTGTGCCTCAGTTTCCCCAGGCGAGCACACAGAAAGATGCACGCTGGCCTTCGCGAGGCACTCTGCGATGTTTTAAGGCTGAATTTCCCAGTCGCTAGGACACTCGCTCTATTAAATGCTCTTTGCAATTGTCCTTTTCTCATCTCCCTGCCTTCTCAAACCGCTCCTGCTCTTGAAATTCGAGATCGCCAAATTTAAATACTTCTCCAGCCCCCCACAGTTTATAACAAAAATGTGGCTATTGGAGCTAACAGATACAAAGGTATGTAATAAATATGCTGGTGCATGAACAGCTCCCTGACTCGCAGGCTATTAGTACAATTTCACAGTAGTTGGAATGGTTTATTGTTGGCATAATCCATCGTCCTATACAAAAGCGGGCGAAATGAAGTTTCCTACAGCAAAGGCATTCCTTTGAAAACTCTTTTTCCTGAGCTCTGTTTATGACACAGGGGATTTTATGTTCCCTCTATTTTTCTCCCGTGATTCAGGGACTGTTCTGAAATAATTGTTGAAAACAGGCATTTTTAAAAAACAAACCCTACTGTCTAACAACTTCAGCCATTTCTCCATTGATAACAATATTAATTTATCATCTCACCAAGCCATCTGCCCATGGGCAAAGCTCTCCCAGAGTCTCATCTTGACCGAATGTGTTTAGAATTAAGGAATTAACCATCCCGTAGCATCTGCCATCTCCCTCACAACTGCCTGATGTCTCATCTCACCCAGCAGATTGTGCTTTCTCTGTAAGACTTGATTCTTTCAACCATCGCATTGCTCCGTTCATGTCCTACACGTAACACATTTAAACAAACGCATATAATAGAGCACCAGTGCCTTGTGAGCCGATAGAGAGCTGCCAAGGAAGCATGCAGCACACAACCACCCTGGCAAGCATGCGTGAGCTCGGGCGAACTCACAGCAAATGTTCCATGAAAGAGCTGCTGAAGAGATTTTTTGTATTAATTCAATTTCATTAATTCAGGCTAACAGGCACATCCAGCTAAACTGCCTTTCCTCTCACTTGTGTTTCTCATCTCTCACTCCACCCTATGCACTAGGTTACGTACATCAATTCATAATGCATCGAATGTCAGAAAATTATAGAGGCATGAGTTGCATTATTTTAAATGGTTGGTTTTGGTATTTATGCAAAAATATCACATTGCAGAAACACTTGCACAATGTGTGCTTTTTTTTTTTTTAACTTGGTGAAAAAGAAAATGCCACAAACTTTTACACATGTTGCAGGGCGTGGTGTGAGGCTCAGGCAGCAAAAGGTGAGCAGAAAGTGGAGCTGGGCAGTGCCCTTCTGCTCAGGTGGAGGGCTGGTTGGTTTTCTAATAGCCAAACCTATTCTAATTTTTAATTAAAAGATTTTTTTTAATGATCTGAAGTTGTCTTAGCAGCACAGGTGAAAGCATAAGAAGTCGGGCTTTAAGGATGACTTTTACCCTGATGGTTAAGAGTGATGAAGCCATGCCATGTTCCTTGCCTGTGCATTTGCTTCCAGTTATGTTCTTGCAAAAAAAATAAAAGCAAAAAAGTTGTCAGTGGTCAGAGATGCCCTGTCGCAGAGCCACACAACAGGCAGAGCATGGCATGAAGTCTGCAAACCACATGCAAAGGAATTGATGACAGATGGAGCACGGATATTGCATGAAGTGGCAACGCTGGGTGCGTGCCAGAGCCTGCCAGGCTGGAGCTGGGAGCTGAAGGAGGGCTGCGACTGCTGCGGGTGGGTGGTCAGGCAAACCCAGAGACACCAGTTACTCAAGCGAGGGCTCGGGCTCCCCCGGAGTTTTGAGGTCAGACCGCACAACTGATCTCTGTGTGGCTCCAGACGGGGACTCTGGGGCTGAAGGAATCCGATGGTAGCGGCAGTCCTCGGCCATGGGGGATGGATGGGCTCATCCCAGCGGGCGCCGGAGTAGGATGCCCTTTGCTGTGGCAGATACATCAAAAGCCTGGGTCCTGCGCACACTCCGTAGGTGTGTGGGCTGTCCCGAGAAACAACAAAAACCCAGACATAAGAAATTTCACACGTTCATCTTTTAAAACTCAGAATAAGGGCGAATTGTTCCTCCTTTCTCACTGATTTTTATGAGAGCATGAAGAACTCCCAAAACGCTGAAGCCCTGCTTCCCATTCCTTCTGCTTTCCCTCTGCTCCAAATGACGTTGCAAGTGAAATTCCACATCTGGGTCCTGCAAACCTCCGTCCACTCCGCTCCATCACGGGCTGCCTTAAATCAGGGCCCTGGTGATAGTTCTTTTGATTAAATTCACTCCTGATATTTGCCAGATTATTGGCACTAATGTAATTCTATTGGAATAGAGACTCTGCAGGATTTTATAGCCTGGCTGTAAAACATCGCTGCACTTTGGGGAAAGGATTTACACACTTTTTGATGAAAAGATGACAAATGATACACGTTATGAATGCACTTGTGCTGAGGCTGCCAGTGTAAACCCCTTGTGGAGGGGCAGGATTTGGCACCTGGAGAGGTCATATTCATTAGGGCTCAGTTTTTTGGTAAAAAATGGGATTGCCTGCCTCCCCTATGCTGTTGCAGCCCCCACACTTGTGCTGGGCCTGGCAGACTTTTCCATCTGCGTTGGAGGATTATTTAATGGCTTGTGCAAAAAAAAAGCTCTCCCAGCCTACCTGCCTGTCCTAGCTTGGACCTGTAAAGGCTCAAGACTTTCACACTTGCTTTTTGGAGACAGTCTGGGTTCAAGCAGAGAGAGGGTGAGTGCCGTTCCCATGGGCTTGACCTCCGGTCCTTGATTTAATGGGTGTAGATGCAGATTTTCTTCCCACCCAGCTGCAGGCATTTTTTTGGGGGGGGGACCAACGCAGCTGAACCCCTTTGGCTCCTTGTGTTGCCTGGAGAGGAGAGCAGAGCTCCTCATGACAGGGA